AAAGCACAAAACAGCATCAAGAAACACACAAGGCACACCACCAACAACAGCAAAAAGCCAAACTATCCACACCCAAATCCGCAAACACACTGAAACCAAAGAAAACAACGAAGACAAAAAAAACACAATCCCAAACACAAAAACCTCAACCAAACAGACGCAATAACCCAGATTATGTGCAGATCAAGAGCAACATGCTCACATTTGACAACACATTGCAAACGGTAAAAGACAAGCTTGCAGCAAGAAAGGATGTCCTCAAGATCCTACAAAAAACGCCATTCTGGAGCATCATCAAGGCTTACATGGAAGGTCAGTTAACCAAGGTAGAATGCCAGAAGTCTAATTATCAAATAATTAAACTAATCAGACTCTACAACCCCGCAACCAAAAAATTCAAATTCAGTGAAGGCAACGAGCATGAAATTACAAGCAATGATGTGTCTGACATCTTTGGATTGCCAAACAAAGGAAACAAGTTGCCAAGCACAACAACTTCCACAAGAACAAATTTGGCCTTCGAAAAGAAGTACTTCGAGAAGTCAAAAAAAATCACAAAAACTGAGATTGATAGGTGTCTGAACACAGCAATAGCAGATGACAGAAAGAAGAATGCAATGGATGTTGTCAGGTTGTTAATCCTAGAGCTCTTCATCACAAATCTCTTTTGCAACTCTGGGGCGACAATGGCTTGGACCTTTTTGACTATGATCGACACATTAGAAGCTATGAACAGCTACAACTGGGCACAAGGAGTCTTAGATTACATGCATTATGGACTGGACCAAGCCATAAAAAATAAAAAGGACAAGACAAATCAACCAAGCGTCAGTGGTTGCCTTGTGCTAATCCTGGTAAGAAACTACATCCATTTGTTAATCCTGTTATATTATTTGTTTTCATGTGCATTAACACTTTATATTGAAAAACATGTTTGTAGTATTGGCTGTGTGAAAGAACTAACCTGATCAGTTCAATTCCTGTAAGAGAAGATCACAAACCAGCGGCTGTCAAATGAAGCCTTCCGGAGCTCAATATCAAGCTGAATATTGCAACATATGAAAACATTAAGGCATTTTTCTTACTTCCATAAACATATATAATGTTAGTACACCATAATTACTACTGACTCCAATAATTCAACAGATAAAAGCTGCTGACAATGAAAAAGAAGAAGCAACAAAGACTGATCATGCAGACCATGAAGAACAAGAAGAAAATGAAGAGGATGATGACTTTGTTATCACACTTAAAGATTGGGTAAGATAACCTACAATGATCCAACATTTATATTTCAAAACTGAATTGATAGTGTACAAACACATATACATGTATATAAATTTGCTAATACTTTTTTTTTCCTTTCTAATATTTGTGACAGTTAAAGAGTCAAACACAAAAAGGAAAAAGCCAGACTGTTATTACCCAGAAACAGAACTTCAGCTTCCATGAAAATGTGGACCAAAGTGCAACCCAGACAAAAACTCCACAAC